AATCATGAGGGGTGTCCACATACTTTTGGAAATATAGTGAGGGAAAGAGCATGAACACATTGTCAACAGTCCTTGAATCCATTTTTGTTGTTGTTGTTGTTGTTGTTAGATAAAGAGAGCTGACTTGTGTTACAGGTCCTTCCAATCCAGTCAGTAGTTGCTGAGATATTTCAGTGTGGACCAAAGTGGTGGACTATCCAATTGTCACACGTAGAACCATGCCGCTAACATGGTTAAAAATCAATTGGCACTGACACACATTAATTTTAGGAATGTCTTGAACTATGATCATCGTAAGTACAGAAAATACAGATACTATCTCTCATGATCACCATCAATATACTCTGGTTCAAGTGATGATTTTGGAATCTAAAGCAAGATGCTTTTCTGTTTCACAGCAGCCAAAATGACCTTATATAAGATAATTAGTGGTTACTTTTATTCTATAATCATCTATATTAGAGCTGTCAGTGTGTGTGTGTGTGTATAGATGGTGTAAACACTTAAACTGCAGAAATGCTCATCAAGCAGCAGACACAAGTATGTAGTCATTTTGTGGCAGACATGCTGCTGTGTTATTACATGACTTCATCATAAGTGAAAGCAAGTCAAGTATTGGAAATATTATATACTCTATTATGTTTTCTTTGGTGTGCACTACTAACTAACATAACTGCAATAAAAAAAGTGATGACAGAGACAGCAGAATATGCACAGGGGGAGGCGTCACCAGTGTGAAGCGCTCAGACTCTGTTAATGCGCCTGCAGGTGAGTCTGTAAACACATACTGTTCATCACTTTGTGTTCAATATTTTTTATTTTAACTTACAAACCTCTGATTGTGGGTGACAGAACCTTTGTTGCATGATGTTAAAGCACAAAAATAAACATTATACATATAATGCAACTGTTCTTGCATTATTTTTGTTTCCTGTCCTCAGTGTTGGGAAGGATACTCTTGAAATGTGACAGGTGAAAGATTACCCTGTTCGAATGTAATAAGTAATGTAACTGTTTTACTTACCTCATCAAAATAATTTAACTTATTACTTTTGCTCACTTTTCTAAAAATGTGTTAAACAAGGCAATAAAGCTGAAAGCAACAACACAGTAAAGGTCAAGTGGAGGCTGAAAGCAAACCAGAGCTGTTCCCACTAAATGTATTCATACTTTTAAAGGGGTATTAGCGTAGATGTACTGGTGTATTGTGGTGTGTGTACTTTAGTATATGTACTGTGGTATGTTTATAGTGGTATGTCTATTGTAATAGATGTGCTCTGGGGTATGCTGTGATGTTTGTATTGTGGTATATGTACTGTGGTATGTGTATTGTAGTGTGTGGATTTGGGTTTATTGTGCCTTCCATGCTTATAGTGTATTGTGGTTGTATGCTGTTTTTAATAGTTTTTCATGAATGATAGGACTTAACAGTATATTTTTAATAACATTTTAGGTCTACATGTAGAAGCCCAACTAGGGTCAAGAGTTGAAAATGAGAAATAGCTATAAACTCTCTGTGCAACACATCAGTCCTATACTCTGCATTGGAACTATGTTAAATTGCATTGTTCCTATCAAATAAAAAAAATAAGACAAAAGTCAAAAATCCAAAGTATTATAAATAAATATATACTATAATAATATATCAAAAATATATGTGTATAAATGTTACACTCAGATTTGTCCCAATGGCTTTCCTGACCCACGTTGTTCAGACGTATGCCAAAAAAAAGTCATGCATGCACCACAACAAGGTACAAAACAACAGAACCCACCCAAACACAGCTGTGGGCTAAGTGACCCCCTCTCACGGCAACAGTACTCCCTGATGGTAGTGGCCCCCCCAGCAGGAAAATGCCCCATGCTACACTGCAGAAACTGCTCAGGAATGGACTGAGGAACGTGACAAAAAGCTAAAGGCATCGACCTGGCCTCCAAATTCCCCAGATTGAAATCTGATCGAGCATCCATGGGATGTGCTGGTACCTCAGACTACCCGTAATTCACAGTGGGCTCTCCCTGGATCAGTCTTGTCTCTGACATGTCAAGGAATGGACACATGACCTCTGGAAGGTGTCCTGTGGTGTCTGGCACTGGGGCGCAGTTATGAGGTGGGGTACCAGCACGTCCCAAGATGCTCAGTCAGATTGGGGTGTGGGAGATTTGGAGGCACCTTGACCTTTTTGTCATGTTCCTCAGTCCATTCCTGAGCAGTTTTTGCAGTGTGGCGTCGGGCATTTTCCTGATCGGGGGCCACTGCCACCAGGGAGTACCACTGCCGTGAGGGGGGGTTAGTTAGCCCACAGTGGTGTTTGGGTGGGTGCAGGGCGTCAAGTGGCATCCACATGAATACCATGACCAAAGGTGTCCCAGCAGAACATTGCATTGTAACAAAATGATCGATGTTACTCACTTCACCCACCACTGGGTTTTATGTTTTGACTGAATAGAATATATTCTGATGTACCCCCTTTGTAACCACTAACATTTTGATTAGTTACTATAATTTAATTTCATTTTTTTTCCTCAGTAACTTTAATGTATTACAATTACATTGATATTGTAATTTAATTATGTAACTCCATAACATGTAGCCAGTTACTCCCCAACACTGCCTGTACCTCTAATGTATCTTCAGTGCATTGAAATGCAAATTTAAAACATACTAACAGGTGAGTTTACAGAATGAACAGGAGTAAGTACTTTTGTACGCTTGTGCTTAATTTCTTCATTCACATCTCTCCTGACGTGTTTTCTTTGCAGATGTGCAGCCTGATGATACCCATATTCCTTCAAAACACATGCATCACTTCCACATTCCTGCTTTCTGCTATTAAGGCCTTAATTGATTACATAGTGGGTGCTTTAGAAAGTGGCATAACACTAATTTAGAGCCATACCTAGGAAGTAGTATAAGTTGACATCGCTGGCACCCGGCATGCTTCTACTTGTTATTGCCACAAATTACAGTGTAATTAGATTAAATAAACAAAGCTTTGGTTTGAAGCCTACAATCAAAAGCATACTTTAACTAATGCAGATGCTTGTACTTGCACTTATATCAGTTCTCTCATCAGTGTTTTTTGTTTTTGCTCAATTCTGTCCAGTATTTCAACATTTTTGGTTAAAGACTTCTTCAAAGCCTGTAATTACTCTGGACTCCTCCGTGCTCTGCTTTACACAATAGAAAGACAATGTGAGCCATGTGAAAGGGCTCAAAATAAATGCTTGTTTTCAGGTATCAGTTCCTTGTGATTATTTGCATATACCTCTAGTACCTATAGCAGCACTAAATGCAAATCATGAGCCACTTTGCTCGGAGTTGTGGTTTGCTGAACACGCTGAGAGAATTACTGTCATGTGTCAGGACTTGCTGACAGAGCACACATTGTTCCTGCAGCAGGTGTGAACGTAAACAGTCTTCACACTCTGCTCTGTATCTGGTTGAATTGCTAATCGAAAAGTGATAGGCAGATTAGTGCCTTAATTCTGCAACGGTTCAGTATTTAATTATCAGACGGATCCAATGAGAGAATGAAGGGTTCCTAAAGGAGGTGTGCACAAAAAAATAAATCAGTGTAATGCAATCTCTTACAGCAACCCTGGTTTACTTACTCATAAAGCTTCTGATGTAATGTAAAGCTTAAATGCATACTCCTACTAGGTACATAGCATTATAAGCACCACAAAAATAGTTTGTGTTGTTTATTTGCTTTTATCTTTTTTTGCACCTGGCCTGTGAAGGCTTTATTTCATCTTGAAAGTACAGTATGTTCGTTCATTCATTTTTTCCTCATATAAATGCTTTCTATGCTTGGCTTAGCATGTAATTTTCTTTTCTCATGGATCTCTCTGTGCGTGACAGTTCTCAGGAGCATACTTTGCCAGGGGCAAATCTGAAGTATCCCACAGTCACAGTGCAGAGCGAATATGAACGCCCCAAAGTCTTGTTAAATCCCCGCAAAGAGAAAAAAAAAAGTTGAAACTGTTGCACAAACATTGAGGTCTTACTGTACATTACATGATCGTACTTGATCAGAGTCATCATCCTACATCATCTTACACCCAAACACCAGGTGTACATATGTCACAGATCTTATTGTTTTCAGTTTTTCTTTTGTGTTTTTGTCCATTTAAAAATTAAATGACACAGGTGTCATAAGATGATTTCTTATCTCTCATTGTGTCATACGGATTACAGCTAATTTATTATGCTGATCTGTTCTGTACGACATCTATTGCACGTCTGTCCGTCCTGGAAGAGGGATCCCTCCTCAGTTGCTCTTCCTGAGGTTTCTACCGTTTTTTCCCCCGTTAAAGGGTTTTTTGGGGGGGAGTTTTTCCTTATCCGCTGTGAGGGTCCTAAGGACAGAGGGATGTCGTATGCTGTGAAGCCCTGTGAGGCAAATTGTGATTTGTGATATTGGGCTTTATAAATAAAATTGATTGATTGATTGATGATTTCACCATAATCCACGTTTTAACATTAAAGGTCACTCTGCAGTTTGAGAAGGAAAACCAATCAGAGCCATTTTTTCCTTTCTATCAAAGCTGGACTTGAGCAGTTGCTATCGAAGGCCAAGCTAATTTGTCAAGTTCACATAAATGAACATGGAAAAAAATATAAAATAAAATAAAACACTATGCACTTATAGTAGAAGAAAAACAGCATAAAGTTAAATTTAAGATTGCAGGTAGAATTTATCATTTTCTCGATAATATAATACTATATATACAATTAAATTACATCCCTGCATTGCTAAAATACACACATTAAAAAACTAAATTTATGTAAGTAATGTGAATGCAGTGATTAAGGAACAGCAGTTAAGCAGGTATGACAGGATTCAGTGAGAATGTCAGGTGCCATTTCACTGGAGGCTATAATTTAAAGGCCTACCAGAAAACCAGAAATGTCTCAGCCCCCTGTCATTTAAGCTTTTCTGTACATTCAAGGGGGTGGGTCTGACTCCAGCCTTACATAAGACAGTATGTATATAAGTGAAGATAGCCTGCTGCTTAGACAGGACTGGACACCTCTGAGTCCCTTCTCTTGTAAGGAAGCAGTGGTTTGCAGCCATCTCACAGGTAACTATCTCCACCAATCTCTGAAACGCAGCTTTCGCATTTCAGATTAGATTCTGCATTCTCTTATTCTGTGTTTCTTCTTGCACCACAGAGTCTGTCTGAAGCCTCTCGTCAACATGCCTTCAACCTGCACCTCTATCATCAACTTGCGTTACCAAGATGGCAGCGAGGGGAGCCCCACCAACCCTGCCAAGTTCAACCACCAGGACTACGTGCAGCTGAGAGATACCCACCAGCGCAGACAGAGGCTGTTTGTGGACAACACCTTTCCCCCTAACAGCCAGTCTCTGGGAGACCTGCCCGACATGAGCTACCGGCGTCAAGCCCAAGTGGAGTGGCTTCGACCAGCAGTAAAATACTTTAAATAACTTGAAGTTTGCAGTTTTTTCTCATGTTTATGTTTTTACATGCTTGTCTACATCTGATTTATTTCCTGTGTTGTGTTGTCCAGGACATCTTGAAACTGCAAAACAACAACGATGAGCCAACTTTCTTAAGCAAAGGAGCCTCACGCTTTGACTTTGCTCAAGGCAATGTGGGTGAGTAAGGATCTCACTTAAGGACAACAAAAAAATGATACCTGGCTTTGGTGAAAATTTGATCTATATGCGGCAGTGCTTGATTTGTTTAATCATTTACCAGGTAACTGCTGGTTTCTGGCTGCCCTTTCCTCACTGACAATCCACAAAGGCCTGTTGGTGCAAGTTGTGCCCATGGACCAGACCTTCGAGAACTACGCAGGGATATTTCACTTCAGGGTAAAGGATTAATAACACATCCTCTCAATGTGTTAAAAAATACACACCGGTCATCAGCTAACGTGTAACGCTTACTCGTCCTTTCTTTGTCAGTTCTGGAGGTTCGGCAAGTGGGTGGATGTTGTCATTGATGACTACCTGCCCACAATCGACCACCAGCTACTGTCCGTGCGCTCCAAAAGTGGAAATGAGTTCTGGGTTCCTCTGCTGGAGAAAGCATATGCCAAGTATGAACCCAACTCACTCACCCTCATATAAAACACTTGAGTGGGTCACAGTCGAGGCACAAACACCAGAATCAAGACATAAAATGCTACAATACCTTAGACTGTTAATCTTTTCTCTCTCCCTCAGAGTGTGTGGTACATACGCGGACATGAACGCTGGGTTGCCATCAGAGGCCTGCAAGGATTTCACTGGAGGCGTGCACATGACTTACGAACTCCACAATGCCCACTCTGCAGGCCATGATGTCGAGCTGTGGAACGCGCTGAGCAGAGCCACCGAGTGCAAGTCCATGATTTGCTGCGGGACTGCCCCAGGAGGGGTAAGAACTACTTTCTTAGGGGAACATTTTCTCGAAAGATGAAAGTCAATAATGTGATTTACCTGTTTTGTCTGTTTCAGGGCACGATTGTGAACAGCGTAGAGGCTAATGGCATCGTGAATCAACATGCCTATGCTGTCACAGCAGTCACTGAGGTAAAGTTGATGTGTGCATACAGTATATGGCAAACAAGGAGAAAATTAAAAGTAAGAGTTCAGTTGTCTGATTTATAATTTCATCTTCAGGTGGAGTATTATGGCTCCAACGTGAAACTGGTGCGACTCTTAAATCCTTGGGGCAGAAAAGAGTGGAACGGAAAGTGGAGTGACAAGTACTTGAGTTAATCATACCTCCAGCCATATGTGCAGTCAATAGCAGTAAAAAAAACAGCTTACACTGCACTGCAACTGAAGACTAATTATTTTTTTGTGCAGAAAATAACCAAGAAAAAAAATCATTTTTCACTTGTGCACAGGTCTGACATGTGGAATAGAGTGAGCCCAGAAGATCGGGAGAAGTGTTTTGACCGCAACGATGGAGAGTTCTGGTAAATTAGCTGCATTAGAAACAACATGGGAAGTTGTCACACTTATTTATGTGTTTCTCACCAAGATTTGAGGTCTAACAAATGTGACCATTGTACTTTCTCCTTCATAAAACATTTGCAAGGTAAATTTTTTGAATGATTTCAAGCCTGTTTATATTCATGATTGCTGGCTTGCAACATTTCTTGGTGTGTTACCACCACAAAGAGCAGGTCAGTAGATAATAGGGTGCTGCAGGAATGAGTCCAACAACCCGAAAATGAGTTACTGACTCCCTAAAACAAGGTTAAGAGATTTTCATGTTGGCGAATATGCGTGCCCTCTTTGGTTGGATTTAGTTTAGGCAAGAGGAGTAAGATTGGTTAAGGTTAGGATAAGAATATTAGGGTAAGCCAATCAGAGGCAGAGTAAGGAAGAGTTAGCCTGGTAGGATCATCTTGACAACATGACCGCATCATTTTATTTCTATATCAGTCTGGAATCGGTGTCATCCCACCTCATATCCAGATTCTAAAATCCAATCGTTGCTAATCAGGGCTCTGCACCGTAGTTAATGACATGAAATGCAGAACAGTAATGGCAGCTCCCAAAGTAACAAGTGCTAGCTCTAACATTAGTTGAGTAAACACAGCGATAAGTGAAGTTACTGCAGAAATAGAGTCAATAATGACAATTAAACAAAAACAATTGTATGCACCTGCTTTGGCAAAAGTTTTTTTTTCAACTGGCTCCATTGGTTGGCAATGAGGAAGATGACTGGCTGAAAGAGTTTGTCTGTTAAGGCCCACTAAAAGTGTTTGGGATAGCATCAAGTCCAGACTGACTTCCTGGAGAAAAAAACAACTTGCATCCACCTTTACAGACTTGTTGCCATGTGAGCGTGTAGTTTGTTTATAGCCTCATGTTAGCTTTTTACTTCTGACAGTTTAATTTATGCTTCAGACATCATAATACTGCTTCATTTGTGGAGATTATCTTGCTATTTAAAATGTTAAAGTATCACAAACTTCTGCTTGAAACACCTGAGCTTATTTTCTGCAATAATCCAAAACCCAATTAAAAATCCAGTTTGCTTTTTATTGAGGGAACCAGGGCGTTGTTAACTTATGGGTTGGCCCACAAAAAAACACCATCCCTGCACCACTCTGTAGTCAGAACCACACACTTTCTTGTCATAAAAACATTGCTCCATAACGCTACCAGTACTGTGACATAATGAGGCATGATAATGAATGGAGAGTGAACATTTTGTACCTCATGGATGACGTTTAGAAAGCAGAACTAAAGTTCATTCATTCCCTTCAGTCTGGATGTAGGCTTCAGGTTTTTTTGTTTTTGCATATGTATCTGTCACAGTGGTTGACATCTTCTGTCTATCTTTGTCCGTTAGGATGGAGTTGGAGGACTTCTGTGAAAATTTCTACGACTTGTTCATCTGCTGTGAGAACCCCAACTTTATTGATGGCGACCTTACCTGCCAGTGGCAGTGCATGACTTACGATGGCAGCTGGGTAGCAGGGAGATCTGCAGGTGGCAACGCATCTTACCGTGAGCCCAACTATTTCACCTTTAACTATAACTGCAAGGACAAAATGTTCTTTTTCCTTTCATGAATGCAAATGCAAAAACCACCACACTGTCTCTGAAGTGTCACGTGACAGTGTTGTTTCTCATGTTTCTCATCACCTGTAGCTTCCTTTGAGACAAATCCTCAGTATCGCATACAGGTGACTAAAATAGACAGGGACGAGAAAGAAGACAAAAACGTCCTATTCTCTCTGATGCAGAAACCTCAGCAGCAGCACCGCAAAGGGCAAACGTCCTACCCAATTGCAGTTACAGTCTATAAGGTTTGCATCCTGACTTCTACTTCATTAGATATAAAATAATGATTAGATAATACAAAATACCGATTAGCAAGTATGAAATGTATGAAACATTTAGGCTATTCGTGTGACAAGCTTTCTTGACTGATTTGAAAAATGTCTTTTTCTTCCAACAGGTTCCACCAGGGGTAAGACCAAATATCACACTTCACCTGTGCACACAGAGCTAAATCCACATTTAAATAATGCAAATGAAACCTCAGGAAGCAGTTTGATTACTTCAAATAAATATCATTTCCAGACACCACAAGGACGCCTGAGGTCCTCCTTCTTCAACAGAAACATGCCGTTGAAGTACACACAGCTTTACACCAACAAAAGGGATCTGATTGAGCAGCACAGTCTGGAGCCTGGAGAGTACGTGGTCATTCCCTCCACCATGAGACCCCACATGTCTGCAGACTTTGTTCTCACTGTTTTCACCAAGTCTGAGGCAAAGATCAGGTACGGACTTAACAGATATGTGACATGTGCTGCATGCAGTGGCGGATGCTCCAAAAGGGGAACCAATCAAATTTACAATGCAAAAGTACAAAAAGAAGAGCAAATTTGCACATAGAGTATTCTTTTACTGTTTCGTTGTTGTTATTGTTGCTAATTTAAGTTGTTTTTCGTGCTGATTTCTCACTAGCTCTTTTTCTTATTTGTAATACATACATGAATAAATTGGGGGGTGCTGAGAAAGCTAAGCTTGGGCGCCAAATGTGCTCTGTCCAGCACTGCGTGTATGTCCCAGTGAAGACTTTTAAACCAAAACAAGGAGTGGTCATTTGGATGTCTGACCCATGCTTTGCTGAAATGATTGATATTATGTAAAGCTGTAGTGTTAACAGTGGATCAGAGTCAAAAGCAAACAAACTTACACATGTGGTTGTTTTAGAGGCTGATTTCACTGTGTTTACTACTTATATGTCAACAAAAATTGATTAATTAGGGCTAATAAACACCTCTGATACCTTACTTTTGTGGGTGGGGCATGTCCTGACTTTGTTTCCCTAACTAACTAACTAGCAGCTTGTTGTACTGCCCACAGTTGGCAATAAGGTTAGCAATTAAAACAGCTTTAAAGTTTGTACAGCATCAGAAGTCTGATTTTTAACACTCTTGTGCCCAGTCCCCATGATGGCGATGATGATGATCATGATCATGACCACGACCACGAAAACGAGGAGAACTTGATTCTTCCCGAGGTATGAAATAAAAGAACACAGTACATACAGCAGCTGTAAGTTAAGGAGAGTAAGTTTAGTTTACCAGTTTGACGTCTGATCCATCTTTAGCTACCAACTGACAAAGAGGATGAGAAGGAGGACAACACTGACAGGGATCCCACCCTTGCCATGTTCAACCGCTACGCTGATCAGGTATTTTCCTGCAAATCTTTCTCTCTCCACTCATCCATTTGCTTCTCCATTTTTATTTATTTCGCTGATATCAATCGATCACATTTTCTGTTGTCAGTATGGTGAGCTGAAAGCCAGACAGCTCCAGAAGCTCCTGAATAACAACTTCCCTCATGGTGAGTTCATTTACATCACGTGTGCTTTGAAAACATACAAAATCCTAATTTATTCATTGTGAATCATGACACTAAGTCTTTTGGAGTTTCAACAACCTGTCGAGTTACTTTGAGGATTTGATTTTCTCTGTGTCTACCATTCACAGGCAATGGCAGGAACGGCTTTAGTTTGGATACCTGCAGGAGCATGATCGCCGCGGTGGATGTATCCTAAAAAGAACAGTTAAAACGTTGAATGTTGTTTTGCTGCTTTTCTTACCCTACAAATCACCTCGCAATATGATGCCAGAAAATCTAAATGGATGCACAACATCCTGATTAAGAGAAATTGTTAAATTTCATCTGTTACCGATGAGACATCCTTAACGTGCAAAGGTCGACCAACGGATGAAGATGACCTTCACTGAATTCTCAACTCTCTGGGAGAAGATTAATGAGTACAAGGCAATGCTGCAAATATGAGCATGATCCCTGAAGATGTATTTCAATTTATTTACCCAAGACAAACAATTGTAGACATGTACTCTTTGAAGTGCAGCAAATGATGCTCTTAGTTTCTAAATGCAGTTGAATCCCTTTTTTGCAGAAAAAATTTTATCATGCAGATTTGAATAAGAGTGGAGCTCTGTCCGACTACGAGCTCCAGCAGGCAATTGATGCTGCAGGTACTATTTTTAATATTCTTAAATCTTTATCTTCTACCAATACAAGTAGAGGAGGAGCATGCTTCATATTCCCGTTTGTTACTGAACTGTTTGCTACTTTCTCCAGGATTTAATGTGAACGACATCTTGGTGAGGCTGCTGATGTTCCGGTATACGGATGAAACAGCTACCACCATGGAGAGCTTCATCACTCTCATGTTACGTCTGGACAAGGCGTCAGGTGAGTAACATGGCAATCACCAATCCAATCACTTTCAAAAAATAAGGCTCCTGTTGGTTCAGTGGGGCTAAAGAGCCACATCCACCTTGCGTCCTCAAATCTGCAGTCTCAAACACACATCACACAAAGTCAGATTTTAACTGCACAGTATCGTATCTTATGTATTTCTGCATATATATAATTGTGTTTTGAGCTTATGTTGCATTCAGAAAAATGTGATATTTGTGGTTTGTTTTCTTTCCAGATGTCTTCAAGGGCAAATCATCTGATGGAGTGATCTACTTGAACTGGGATGAGGCAAGTCTTTTTCCACTCAGTGTCATGTATTCTTCTTTTCTTTATCGGGACATCCAACATAAAAAAAAAAGATATGCGTGTGACAGAAATGTTCACATCATCTACTGAAGTACAAAAACATATCAACACAACACTCCCAGTTTTCACGAGTTAAAGCAAGAGGTCCAATACTTTTTCTGTGCACAAAAATACTTCGTTTTTGTCGCAAATTTTGTTTACTAATTTCAAATCTGTGTCACTGAGCTCTTTGCCAACATAATCCGTCATCCATGCTCCTAACAGGTGTGGCATATCAAGATGTTGATTGACTGTCATCATTATGACACAGGTGTACCTTGGGATGGTCACAATAAAAGGCCACTCACAAAACACAATGCTACAGATGCTGCATGCTTTGAGAGAGCATGCCACTTATTTATTTAACCTTTATTCAACCAGAAAAACCTCTCTTTTTCAAGAGTGTCCTGGCCAAGATGGGCAGCAACACAAGTTACAGACAGACAACATAGAACAAAAATACAGAATAAAAATGCACAGCTCTAAAACAAGCAATATAAAACACAAAATGAGATTACTACAAAGAAAAGCCAAAAATGTATGTTAATATATACCAGAAGTGAACCATGAAAATGCAAAAAAGGGGTAACTCCCGTTGATTACAAAGACCAGCTACGATACATGCAGTGGCATAAAGAAGATTGTGTACAAAAGTCCTGCATTGGTGCTTTTTAACAGCCGAGTGGAACCTATGAGTGCAACTCTAAGTCTTGCCAAACTCCGTACGTACCCTCGGTAGACAGTAAAAACATGTTCTGATAGCCAATGGCATGCTGTGCAGAGCTGTTGCCTGTTTACTGAATGTTCATTTCACTGCCATAAGCTGTCTCCAATGTCATGTCCCAGAATTTGGCAGTACTTGCAACCAAAACTTGTGGCATCTCTGGCATTGTGTAACAAAATTATTATTATTTTTATTTATTAGTCATTATTATACTATAGGATTATTGTAACCAATACCAGTAGTGTATAAATAGCATGTTGTTGTTGTTGGGTGTGCTTGGTTCCTAAACCCCCAAAGTAACATGCAGATAAAGCTGTGGATTAAAAGTAGTGGAGTATAAAGTACAATATCTCCCACTGAAATTAGTGTTCTAGAAGTATAAAGTAGCATAAAATGGAAAAGGTACAGTGCTTGAATGAATATACTCAAGGGTGTGTGGCCCATCCTGTGCAGAAATAACTCATTAAGAGCATTACAGTTAACAATTCTATAAACTCCCTTCTTTTGTTTCAGTGGTCTACCTTCTCCACGTACAACTAAACCAAAGCCGACACGGGAGCACAGGAGACACCCAAGAGACGAGTCCTGCAACCATAAGCTGCTTTCATTACAACTGATGTCCTCCTGTGTAAAACCTGTGAAGCAGTAACATGTTCTGAAATAAACGTTGTTACCTTCCAAACTATGAGCTGTAATCTTAATTCTTGTACACATTTTAACGTGAAACTGCAAGTGACAATGGTAGAACAAACGGGAACGAACAGAATAAACAGTGGACCAGAAATGATTTTATTAAATCGTCACTGACTATATCAGAAAGATACAAAACCCCAACACAAGTGATCAAACACAACATCACTGGCTCGCTCGTCGCTCCACACTTCTTCCAAATGAAGCAATAAGATAAAATTTCCTATGTACACTTATTCCTGTATGAGATGTTACAAGGGGCTCTTTGTCAAAACTCATATGTACAGTTCAGTGCTCTTATTTCACAATAATTGAAAATGCCACCAATTCAAGTCCAAAAGAAAAATATTGTCCAGGTCTCTCTCTCTCTGACCATGAGCACACTCTGCTGTTTGACTCTGCCCACTGCAGTGTACAGTGCCGTCAGCAGTTACAGGATAACGTCGGCCATGTTCAGTATTTTTCTTATTGTCAACAAATCCCATGAAAAGACAAACGAATTCTACAGTATGTATGGCCACAGCCTGGTTTAACTTAATGTCACAGTTACCTCTAGTGTTGTCCAAAACAATCACCTCAGTAAGCCACAGTGAAATGTATTTTGAGTCAATTCCACATTAGGGTTGTCCTGCTGAAGAAACCTCCCTGTGGTGACTGAGGGTGAGCCAACAGCGCAATATTCAGTATTACTGCCATTTTATGTGGTTTTTGCAATAACTTCATGTATCCTAATTTTAGTGCTTTGTATAAGCTTACTGTCAGGCTGTTATTAGGTATATTGTTACTTCTTAAATGACAGTTTTAAAACAAATGAAATACTTATTAACACTTATTATTATCCTTATTAAACTCAGAACACAAAAGGGCAATGAGGTTCAAAACGGTGCACAGCATTTTTTTCAGCTGAGATGCTTTGGTTGGGAAGGAAACTGAATATCTGTACAAGTAAAAATGTCGGCTTAAGGTAGAGTACCTGCTTGGATGAAGGCAAGGCTGAAGCACATAGGGAGAGAGGACAGATGTGCTGGTCTGTATGGGTTCAGTATTAATTTCTCCTCCAATGCTGCTGTTCATTGACAGGACAGTTGGTCTTTGTGGTATTTGTCCTGACCTTCCACTTCTGTGATTGGAAGGCTGTGTAAAAAGTTCTAGTGACGGCAGCATTTTACACAAATATGATTTTTTTTTTTAAGATTATTTTTTGGGCTTTTTTGCCTTTAATGAGCAGGACAGAGTGAAATGGGGTGAGAGAGGGAGAGGGTTGACATGCAGCAAATGGTTACAAGCCAGAGTCGAACCTGCGACCACTGCAGCGAGGCACTGCTTCTATACATGGGGCGCCAGCACTATCCACTACGCTACCAATGCCCCACAAATAGGAATATTTTTAAATTCCCAGCAACCAGAAAAAATGGCAGCAATTGGTGCAGAATAGACGCTCAGCGCCTCATCACGCTGCTGGCATACACAGCATAGTGTAAGTATGCTGCGTTCCCATGGGGAAAAGAAAAAAACAAAAAACAAAAAACATGACCATAACAGCGGTGGCAATGCTTGCCATCTCCTGTGGTTGGCTTGTCAATGGCGCTGTACTGCAATATTGCTGTTACTGCGACAGCTGTATTCCACATACACTGTATTAGTGATGTAAAGACTCATGAGTATACCAAAAGTGTATTAATCCACAGCTGAAAATAGATCCCAATAAATGCCCTGTTTACTCTAATTTGAGGAGTGTTTGCTAAAATCTACACTGCCAAGCTGTTTAGGGATTCATTGGGCCTTGAAAAGAAAATCAGTTTCTAAAGATTTACATCTTCAGTGGGAACCAATGGGCTCAGGTAACAGGGCAGGGAGGTCACAAAGTACTGACAGAGGAAGAAAGTAACTTTTGGTGTTGTCTTTTCATTTGATTTGTTGAGAAAGAATAACATTAGCCATATTCTCCAAATCAAGATAAAGGTTTTGTCCAACTCAGCAAAGTTTGCGTCATGTGCTGCACAGCTCTCAGTCCTCTTCCTTCTCTATATACGTCTTACAGGCTGAGCGGGCCATCTGTCTGGCCAGGTACCGGTCTCTTGCCGAACTCACAGTTCGATCAGTGCTGCGCTTTGCAAACTTGTTCGCCTTCTCCTCTGCGCCTTCCTTCTCCTCCCCTTCCTGTTTCTGTTCATCTTCTTTTTCCTTTCTGTGTTCTGCGACTGCTTCCTTCTTTTCTGGATCTTTTTCCTCTCTCTTCACTGCCATCTCCTTCTCGGGTTCCTTCTTTCTCTCCTTCTCTTCTTCCAGGTCTTTGTCTCTCTGCTTGACTTCATCTGGATTCCTCCTCTTCTCTCTTTCCCCATTCTTATGCCTCTCTCTTTCTTTGGGGCTCCTCTCCCTCTTCCCATGTCTGTCTTCCCTGTCTGTATCCTTGCCTCTGCTTCTGTCATCTTCCCTGCCTCGGTCTCTGTCCCTCTCTTTCCTTCTATCCCTATCATCTCTTCTTCCTCCGTGTCGGTCATCTCTCTCCCTTCCCCTGTTTCGGTCTCTGTCTCTATCTCTGTCTCTCTCTCTATCTCTATCTCTATCCCTGTCTCTCTCTCTGTCTCTGTCCCTGTCTCTTCCTCTGTCCCTGTCTTGATCTCTGTGGCTCTTCTTATGTCTGTCTCTCTCCTTCTCTCTGTCCCTCTCCTCTCCGCTCCCTGATGAAGGTGACCTCTGTCTGTATTGCCGTTTTGAGTGTGCAGAGCCTGTCCCAGGTTTGCTAAACCCAGACTTCTGCTCATGACCCTCCTCACTGTCGCTGCAGGAACTTGGGATATTGTCATGGGACGTAGATGAGGCAACAGGCGAAGTCCTCTCTGTGTCTTTTGAAACTTTTGAGGTCTCAGTTCTGTGGAAGCAGGAACAGAAATACAAATACAGGCTCAGAACAGTTTAAAAAAAAGTGTGCTTGTTGTGTTTACAGATGAGCAGGTAATGCGGCACTATGACTGACTTGATTGCTGAGCGATCCGGTATCGCCTCCTCTCCTACAGTCTGATTCAGCAAGTGTCGGTAGAAGCCGCTCAGGTCTTTTTGTTTCTTCACGTCCAAAGCCGCTAAACAAAACAAAAACAATTCAATCAAATGATTTACACTGATCCAGATAAAGAAGCCTCTTTATCACAACATGTTTAAATATCTCTTTAAGTCACATTCTGTGTCCCCTAACCAAGGGGATTCTTCTCCAAAGCCCACTGGCACAATATAATTCACTGAAGGAATCAAGTAAAGATACCTTCGTAAACTTTTCCTGCTTTCAATAAAATATCTGTCATAGAGTATCAGTCTAACCTTCCAATGCCGCCTCTCTCTTCTCTCTCTCCAGCTCCTCCTTCTGCTCCTGCAGTTTTTGCTTGTAGGCGGAGGTAACGTAAGCTTCTTTATCTGCAAACTTCTCTCCCTCTGCCTCTCTTTCCTTCTGGATCTTCCTCTCCTCCCTTCGTTCTTGTTCTTTCTTTCGGTCCTCGACTGCTTTCATTAGCTGGTGGATATACTTTGGCTATAACAAAGAGACACAAACAAAAAAAGAAATTAGGTCAATGTGCATGAAGACGTTCAAGCTCACATTTTGCTTTTTCTTCACCAGTAGGATGTCAGAACTTAATGTCTGCAAAACAGCAGCATCACAGTACAGGGAATCAGTGCCTTGCTCCAACATATTTTAGCAGAGTGCATGCTGGATAGTCTTTCTAACAAGAGGTCATTATGAAATCCCAGTGTTAACACTTGCATCAAGTGTTCAACCAAAAACTGATCACCTTTTTGTCAACACCTCCCAGAATTTTTTTGTTGCTCTCAAGCCTCTGCTTTTGAATGTCATCGTACACAGCATCATAGTCGTATACAGTGCTGTCCTGTTCCAGGGCCTTATGCATCTCCAAACGTGTCTTAAGACAGAGAGAGAAAGACAAGAGACATGTTAATCACAAAGGGATGACTGTCAAAAAAATAGTAGGTGGACACAAGTCACAAAGTCATCCTCTCACCTGCTTCATCATCTTCTTTTTGACAGCTTCTTTCTGCAGACTCTCCCCAACTGTGGTCTGAGGAACAAAACATATTCAGCATATTTGCCAACTGATACCTGTATGAAGGCTTTAAAATGTATACATATTTGTTTAGTTTCCATAATAGTGAAAATACCTTTAACATGCAGTGACTGGTGAATGGAAAGAGGAACACTATACTGTCCTGCTAATGATAAATCAGAGCATTTACCCACCTCATCATCCGAGTCATCTCCAAACACTGAGTGTTTCTGCAGGGTCTTTGACACTCCTTTTTTCTGAGGCAAGATCAGCCCATACCTGTGGACCATCAGGCAACAAGTTAAACCCTGCTCTACAAAATCTGTCTGTACACGTATTTCACATGCAAGTTGGGGAAGGGAAAATCTCTACTGGGACAAATGCAAAGGCTTCACATTTGACTTTAAAGCAGCCATTTAAATGAACAGCAAACGACCTTTAAGTGTTTTATGCTTAATTTGGACTACGACTGTCTGTATAGTGAGGTTTAAAGATTTGTCCCCCGCATTCATAAATACTTGTATCCTTTAAATGCCAGTATCAGTATTTTGTCTTAGAAATCGACAGCACAGTTCGTATCAATTCCAAATACAGTATTTCAGCAAATTGCAGAAAGCTTACTAACATTTTTAATTTTCCAGTGACAAGGGCAGTCTTATTTATAAGATAAGGTGTGTTAACTTGTTTACGACACAGGCGACTTTCAGCAAACATAAGGTTAAGCTCACTTTTCAAAAAACAATACGTCATGCACTAGAAGAGAAACTCTAAACACCTCAATCTTCCAAATTAGCTAACTGCAGTTTGAATGACTGACATTAGCTTTAAAACTCTCCCTCAGTTTGTCATTGGTTGGGCATTTATCACAAGAAAATGTTTGCGGATATACTTCTAGTAAAATTAGGACAGCAGGGATGAAAAAGTGCAAACCTGAAGCATTACACAAACAAAAAGGATCCTGGTTTTGTAAACGTTAACTGGCTGCTTTATGAGCGAGGTTAGCATAACGTTAGCATAGCGTTAACTAGCTTCAGGGGCAGCAGGGGGCGAAACAACAGTTTCACTAATAAACCTCGACTGTAACACCACTGCTTCTGCAGTGCATTAAGTTCATCATCATAACTATAACTACACCCCCCAAACCAAGTGAGACACTTTCAGTTTAATAAACCACACACTACCATAACCACGTTAGCTTGTTTGCAACTTACTGTTTTGTAGGGACCGCCATCTTGCTCTGCTGACTGTGAACGGACACGACAGATTCGACACAATATTTCAGTAAATTCATACACTACAAATTCTGCTGGTTGTATACCTTAACAGCCATGTGGATATATTTTACCGCACATATGACCGACATTTATCATTTTGATGGTAAAATGTGCTTCAGTTAGCTAAATATTGGTTTTGTTAGCGTGTTACGAAAGTGCGGACCTTTAATGACAGATAGGAGAAAGTAGGACCCGGACCATACGGAACAAAATGTGAATTATCACTGATTTGTGCAATAATATAAATAACTAAAATACAGCGATATTAGAAGCATATTATATCAGACTGCAGTGTCTGTGCTGTAATTACACCTGTAAACGCGTTACAATGGCAAATGCATTGTTTTCATTACCAACAGGTGGCGTTATTGCTCCAAAATTATATTTTTTTAATCTTTAATTTTCTTTTATTCAAGCAACATTGTCACCCTCCTTTTTCTGTCTGTGCTTTGAGTTGCTGTGACGTGAATTTCGCAAGTGTGGGATTAATAAAGTTTCCTCTTATCTTATCTTAAACTGTAGCTCATTAATCAGTCAGTACTGATTAATCCAAGTATGGTTGGAGATCCAGAGAAATAAAAGTCAAAAGTTTTTCCATGTACTAAAGGAAGTTATACACTTTATATCTGTAAGATTGGAAGAACTGAATTCATCTGGATGCAAATGGTAACTTAAAACTCTGCCAACATATTGGCAGTCTTAGATACACTTTATCACTGGAGTTTGAATGATTTAGTCTTTTACATAATTACCAATTAAGAAATTAGAAATTCAGCCATTCAGTAAATAAATAGGTCTTCGGTAAATGTCCAGACTCAATAAGCCCCATGGTATAACCAAATTTAGGATTTAACCATTGTAGAATATTACCAGGAGAATAATTTACACGTCTTGTGGGGCATGCTGTTCAATACATTTCATATGTCAACTTTACATTTTTGGCCTATGAATTGAGTGTGAAAGCAAAACAGTCATGCAGTCTCAACTTCTGGGCAAATACTCCCTTATAAAACACACTGCATTGAATGATATCAAAAATGTATTTTGTACTTGAGGCCTAGTACTATCTCATTTGAAAAATATTTTTAGGTTTGATGAGGTAAAACTACAGTATTCCAAAAAGATTAAAGTATTAAAAATACACACATTTTGTAAAGGCGAATTTGGTTTCTCACTCTCCTATCCTGGTCATAATCCTGCATCCCCATAAGTTTCATTTTATGATCCATATTAAAGGGGTCCTGATGTTCAGGTTTTAAACCAGTCTTCTACTGTGTCATAAGAAACCCAGGCTTATGATGGATCTACATGTATTTTTATCTGTTCTTGTAACCACACATATAGCAGCAAACTCCCACACCAAAGATAATATGCAGGATACTGTGATGACAGGTAGGAGCGACTGACGGTCTGTGGCTACTGTATAAATGAGCAAAGAACCTGCTCTCATTTCATGTCATTCGCGCATGTCATTTGTTATTCTCAGTGTTGTCAGCCACTCTGCTCTAAACCTGTGGTAAGTCATTCTTTTAAATCAGATCAGAGAGCACGTGGCACACCTGTGATTAAAGCTGCAGCTTTGAATTCCCACCGCCTCTGACTCTAAATCCAAACACCATTATCTCTGTCGTAATCTCCATCTCATCTCATCTCTGGCCTCGCACTAATCCCTGTGGTACAAACAGCACGACCAAAGCTGCCTGATGGATGGGTGAATGGATGGAGTGGTGATAACATGAACTATGGGATGGATGGATGAATTGCTGGATAGATACTATAAATGGTGAAGTTAAGGTGAAAAATGTGAAGTTAATTAACAAATAACTTCTCTATATCAGTAATGCACATTCTCCCTATCTTTGCCGAATGCTGTGGAAAAACCAAGCAAATAGCAGATATCTGTGCATGCATACCTGCATGCACAGATATCTGGGCTGTGTTGCATGTGCCGATGACACACACTTCACTTTTGAGTGTGCGGTTCTGTGGCATGTGATGTATTCTCTGATTTGTGCCCTCAGGTAGTGAAGATAGCAGTGCAGCCGTGCAGGTTCAGACAGGCAGGCTACATGTCAAGAGTCATGAACTATCACCTGACGTTTTCCCTCGGTCAGAACTGCACCCACTTCACTGAGGCTCATACAGGTATGTACACAAAAGATCATGTAACTGCTGGCTGATAAGGTATAGGAAGGCAGGCCTCTCTTCTTTTCTGAACTGTATCCTTAAATTTGAGTACCACAAGTTTAAACTAACTTTCTTAAACCAATATGTGAAAATACAATCATGCACACTCTATATGGATATTGTACAGTAACCCTGCAAGAGAAAATACTGAGTCACGTGACTCAAACTCAAATTTAAACTGATTTTAGTTACTTGAGAAAAAAAAAGCACTGAGGAACTGACTTGACCTAAATTCTAGTGACTTGACATTTAACTCACAATTCCAAAATACTGAAAAAAGGTTCTTTATAACGCTTCTAAAAAAGTTTGGTACTCTCAATTAGATGTTGGTACTAACTTGTGTCTAAAGACTTGAGACTGACTTGGAAAAGCTGACTTGGACACATCTCTGGGCTTAGTATCCATGCATTGAATTGACATGTTATCTATGCAAACACATTATCTTTTAAAAATGATAAAGCATATTAGAGCTCAGTTATTTTACACATCAAGTTCAGTTTACTCATCATAATGAGGTGTACTAATCTGTACAAACATTTAATGTAGTCTGTGGCCCAGTAGAAAGCTTTTGAAAGTCTGTTGTCAGGATTATATTAGTTTGAGCTCTGAGAAGAGCCTCAGGTACAACTGGGGGCCTGTATTTTTAAAGACATGACCACTGACCATGGATGTATAAAGAGAACTGGATACAGTGTTGGAGGCAGGCCCTTTGCATTCCTATGAAAGCTGCTCAGTGGCGCATGAAGGCAAGAACATTCAACTTCCGTATATAAAATTTCCCAGATAATAGGCGCTGCTTCCGCATCATTGAACTCATAGAGAAAGTGCACAAGAGACTTCCAGTTAGGTGCTCCATTAACTTGAATTGGGATAAAATGATTTAACCACGGGCTATTCTAGACTTTCGAAATGTTATCGGATCAAATGGATCAAATCTCAATGGTGAAACGAGTAATTTTGTGGGAGTCGTGCACTCAAAAGAAATGTGTCTACTGACTCACAGATTTCTCTTTCACAATGTAAGTCTTTGGGGAAAAGGTTTTGTTGGTTCAATGGCATCACTTTAAGGGCTCAGAAGTTGTAATTCCGCTGTTTGGCCCAGGACCCCAGGAAGTGCGCCAGGCTCTAGAGCCAATTTTTGTGGAATCAAACAGTCAACAGCTCATCACATGATGCACTGGGCCCAAAAAGACTTTTCCCCATAGACTTACATTGTAAAATATGTCTGTAAATCAATGGATACATTTTTTTAGTGTCACATCCACTGCAAAATGACTGGTTTCATTGTCAGGATCTTATCCATTTAGTCCAATAACATTTCGAAATTATAGAAGAGCCGCAAGATTAAATCTTTTTACTCCTATCAAGTTAGCAGAGCACTAAACCAGAAGTGGCCAGCTGGGCTGTGCGCTAGAGTTGTGTTCTTCCAAGACCCCCAAAGGTATGTGGAAATACAATTTTACATTTATACAGTATGCCTTTAAAGAGGAACACCACCTGAATGAAGAATTCTGATATGTTTTTTCTTAATCTAGGAAAGTTTAATCAATATTTGTGAACACAAACTTTTTTTCTCTCAAAGCTGGAAACCAAAGAAGTAAGACTTAAACTTGTGATATAAAGCACTGATACTAAACTTACTGTCCATGTGCCAAATCTGGCCTGCAATACGGTGCCAGGTGCCCCCTCCAACCATTTCTAATTTACAATGGAAATAAATTGATTGACAGTGAAAAGGTTTTGTACTTTAATGTAAAGGAGCTATCAGAATGCAAAAAAGCATCAAAATAGAGCTTGTTTATCAAGAACAAGTGCCAGGAGAAGATTACTGTGGATCCCCCTGGATCCCCTTGTAGAGGACCGGGCTAAGCCCTGAATGTCTTCAAATTCTAGAAACACCCCTGCATACACCTGAGCTATGTGAATTTGCTCCGACTGGCCCCTGGTCGCTTGTTATTTTGCAAAAGTGGCCCCAAATTCAATTCAATTTCAGTTTTCAATTTTATTTATAAAGCCCAATGTCACAAATCACAATTTGCCTCAGAGGGCTTTACAGCATACGACATCCCTCTGTCCTTTGGACCCTCACAGCGGATAAGGAAAAACTCCCCAAAAAATGTCTAACGGGGGGAAAAAAGCAAAGTAAGTTGGGTATCCCTAGCATAGAGTCTGGAGCTGCTCTGTAGGCAATGAATGGGAGCCTAATTTTCTATTTTATACCCAAATTAACTTAATTCTATTGTAGTCAGGGACATTAACATAGACAGAGCAGGCAGGCGGTTGCACTGGGGCCCATGGGATGAGGGGGCCCATAGAGAGAGTGGGCCCTCCAACTATATGTTAGACAGAAAACAAGCCCTTGTGAGTAATTTAGATTGCTAACTTAGAAATATGCTTGTGTTCAAAGAAAAACTTGATTTGCCTGTTGCTATATATATATATGCCTTTGAAAAGGCAAACCCATCTCCATCATGTTTTTCTTTTATTTTGTAAAATAGCCAGTAGCAATCTATAACAAAATATGTTATAAAATATGTGCTTACTATACGCAAACTATAAATAAACTATAGCAAAGGTATTTTTTGTCATGTCATGTCAATCATGATTTCTGGGTAATATATATGTCAGTGTTATCCAATGTCAAGCCTCTATTTAATTGTGTGACAAGATTATACGGTAGTTAGTTTAGGTGCATAACAAGTAATTAGCGTGCCTTAGGGCCCATCATAGAAGTGTGCACTGGGGCCCCTTGTAACTATTTTACGCCTCTGATTGTTGTGCTGT